CCCTTGAGAACCTCACCCTCACCCCCACCCCACCCAACTGGTTCATGGACACCGGAGCTTCCCATCACATAACTTCTGATCCAGGTACTTTATCTCATGTATTTACATCAAACATTAATTCTCCCTCGCATATTATTGTTGGTAATGGTTCTACAGTTAGCACTACTGGTTTTGGTAAGGGCACCCTTCCCACATCCCCTCCCCTCACCGTAAACAATGTCTTAATCTCCCCACATATCATCCATAATCTCATATTTGTCCGTCAATTTGCTCGTGATAATAATTGCACCATTGAATTTGACTCTTGTGGTTTCTCTGTAAAGGACAAATTGACGGGAGCCGTGATTCATCGATCCAATAGTGACGGACCTCTCTACCCCATCTCCCAAGCACCCTCCAACGCCCACCTCAATTCAGCCCAAGTCGATCTCTCCACCTGGCACCAACGGCTTGGACATCCCAGCCCCGCTGTTCTCCATGGCGTGTCATCTTCTTTAGCTAGTTTTTCTAAATCAAAATTAGATTTTTTATGTCATGCATGTCAACTAGGCAAACATGTACGCCTACCTTTTCAGTCTTCAAGTCGTATTTCAACTTTTCCATTTCAATTAATGCACACTGATTTATGGCAATCTCCTATTCCTAGTGTAACTGGTTTTAAATTTTATATGCTTTTATTAGATGACTTTTCTCATTACTTATGGATTTTTCTCCTTCACCACAAATCTGATGCTTACTCTCATATTGTTAAATTCCATGCTTTTGTTAAAAATCAATTTAATACAACCATAAAATCTGTACAATGTGACAATGGCACTGAATATAGAAATAACCCCCTTGCAACCTTTTTTGAATCTCTCGGAATTCTTTTTCGCTTCTCCTGCCCCTACACGAGCCAACAGAATGGTCGCGCAGAACGCACTATCCGCACAATCAACAACATTGTCCGCACTCTTCTCTTTCAAGCTAACCTTCCTCCTCACTTCTGGGTAGAAGCCCTCTACATGGCTACTCATCTCTTCAATATTCTCCCCACCACCACCCTTAACAATCGCACCCCGCATGAAGTTCTATATTGCACCCCCCCATCCTACTCACATCTTCGCGTCTTCGGCTGTCTCTATTACCCCAACCTCTCTGCCACTGCCCCCCACAAACTAGCCCCGCGTTCTGCTCGATGCATTTTTCTTGGTTACCCAGAAGCACAACGTGGCTATCGCTGCCTCGACCTCACCACCCATAAGATCATCATCTCCCGCCATGTCACCTTCGATGAGTCATGTTTTCCCTACGCCCCTCAATCCTCTCCTTCCGCATATGATTTTCTCGACGACATGGAGGACAGCGTCCCGCCCCACCACCA